TGGCATATAAAATATCAAAATCGTAAAAAAGGCTGTAAAACGTCAGATTTTTCGGACTAAAAAAAGTTAAATCTTATTTGAGATCTCGAATTGCACAATCCGTTCACACAGATTATCAATTCGTTCCCACGATTTAAAATTCGAGGTCTCGAATTACATAATTCATTTTCACTGGTTTCGTTTTCACACGGTACTCTTCCCAACGAAAGCCATGAAGGGACATGGAGATTTTCAAAATTGTATAAAAGTAAACCGAATTCTCGAATTATACAACCCGCTCTCTCGGATTGATACAACGAATTGCCATATTGGATTAACTCATGTCTTTCATAACATTTTTGTGCGTTCAGATTAAACATGTTAATAAAATAGCCAGTAAAGTAAGCAAATATATGTGCGCTAGTGAATCACACCCCACACGTGCTTCACTCCAAAGATCCAAGAAAATTATAGCCCCCTCCAAAAAACGCGGAAATCAAAGAAGGCAACAATTTTCCGCTTATTTCTCCATATCGTAAAACTCAATAACATATTTACATTCTGGACAATGTAATAAATACAGAGTGTTTCAACAAATATGTCTCGACTTTTGATGTCTATATACAAAAGTATACTTTCCCCATTAATCACGTCTTCAAAAGTCAGTTTGTCAGGTTTTTCTAAAGATGGAACAATGGATATTTTTTAATTAAATGAATTATATAATAATAATAATAATTTTTTATATAGCGCCTTATCTTATGTGAACTTTAAAGTTCTTTACATAGATATAACAATACAAATAATAAAAGAAAGACTAAAAACAATCTTACATATACCTATAAAAAAAATAAGAAATTCTGAAAAAAGTCACATGTTAAAACAGGCCATGCATATACGTTCGTATACACGTCACATTTCAAAGAAAGGCGTTTTTAAAAAGATATGTCTTTAAATCCCTTTTAAATATTTCCAATTTGTCAACTTATCTGAGCTCTTCTGGCACCGTACGTCTTTGATCAGACTCTAAGCACAACCAACTGGCTTGACGAAGCCGGAAGCTGAGTGAAGTGACCTGGCGGGTCTATATTCGCGAACTAGTTCTGAAAGATAAGTCGGTGCTAAACCATGAAGTGCCTTGAGATGAAGACATAGACACATAGTTTGTATTGCACTCTATATATGATAGGAAGCCAATGTAGCCCAACAAGTATGGACTGAATATGTTCACGCTTGCTTGTCCTGGAAGCCAGTCTAGCACCTGTGTTCTGGACCCTGTGCAATTTGCTGAGATATGCGCTATTGATGTTGAATAAGAGCCCATTTCCATGGTCAAATCATGATGTCACCAGAGAGTGGACTAGTGTATGTCCTTGCAACCGCATTGCATTGCTTTTCAGAAGATAGGATTTTATCGAAAAATGCACCAAGATTTCTGACATTCGGAACACTGTGAATGATGTTTTTTCCAAACGATAAGCTGAATTCAGTCAAAGTTTTAATGCGACTCTTAGGGGCAAATACAATAAGCTCAGTTTTATCCTTGTTTAATTTCAGCATGTTACTAGACATCCATGACTTGATTTCATTCAGACAGATGCTAACCGTGAAGTCGCATCTAACCAGGTCTCGGCTGGTTCTACTACTAGATAAACTTGCGTATCGCCGGTGTATACGTGGTACCTCATACATGACGCAGGCATATCTCGGTATGCGGACGGGAAAAATACAGTATATTTTTGGCCCCAATTCTGAACCTTGGGGCACATAGATATTTAATGGTACAGGATCGAAAATTTTGGAACCAATTGATATGCGTTCGTTCTTTGACTCATGTATGACTTGATCCACAAAAGAGTGTTCTCTGTAATACCAAAAGTGTGTGCCAGCCGTTTATACAAGATGCCATGGTCAATGGCTTCAAAAGCTGCAGACAGATCCAACATAACTAGAACTGCGGAACTGTTGTTGTCCAGCGCCGTAGCAATATCGTCATGAACACGAAGTAGGGCTGTCTCAGTGGAATGGTATTTCTTGAAAGCAGACTGAAGGTCATCATTAAAATGGTTTTGTTCTAGATGACGATCAATACGAATGGCGACGGCCCTTTTCAAAACCTTTGATATGAAAGGCAAGTTCAAGACAGGTCGATAATTTTTGGAACATTCTTTATCCAAACCTTGTTTTTTGAGCAATGTTTTCACAACTGCCTCCTTGAAACTCGATGAAACAGATCACTCAGATATCGATTTGTTGATGATATCGTTGATATGAGGCACCGATACTGAACTTTCACATTCTTTTGGTAAGTTTGTTGGTAAAGGGTCTAAACAGCATGATTTTGATGCAGAGTTTGACCAAATTCTCAAAACTTTCTCACAAGATGTAGGATCGAAAGTAACCAACGCATCGCCATAAAATGGTTTATCAAAAGCCATGGAAATAGTGTTGTCTCTACTTTCAGTCTCACTGACCAACACTTCTCGAATGTTGTTTATCTTGTTACTGAAAAATGATCCAAATTTGTTCGCTAATATGAAGATAAAGAACAATATTGTCATTACTGCATGATTTTTAGCTCTACTGGTCAGAAACCAGAAGAGCTTATGCGATAGTAATGCGTCCGTCGTCCGTTGAACGGTGTTGCCGTGGTTACTAGAAATAGAAATTTCTGTGAAAATCATTCAAAATGCTACTCCTCCTACAGTTTTGGTCTGATTTCAATATAACTTGGCACACAAGTAGACTACACTAAGGTACATAATTCTATATATCAGTTTTCGATTTCGACGAATGCTGTTGCCGTGGTTACTAAAAATAGAAATTTCTGTGAAAAACATTCAAAAATGCTTCTCCTCCTACAGTTTAAGTCTGATTTCAATATAACTTGGCACACAAGTAGAGTACACTAAGGTACATAATTCTATGTGTCGGTTTTTGATTTTGATGAACGTTGTTGCCGTGGTTACTAAAAATAGAAATTTCTGTGAAAAACATTCAAAATGCTACTCCTCCTACAGTTTTGGTCTGATTTCAATTTAACTTGGCACACAAGTAGAGTACACTAAGATACATAATTCTATACATCGGTTTTTGATTTCGGTGAACGGTGTTGCTGTTGTTACTTAAAATAGAAATTTCTTTAAAATACATTTTAAATACTACTCCTCCTACAGTTCTGGTCTGATTTTAATATAACTTGGCACACAAGTAGACTATACTAAGATACATAATTCTGTGTATCGGTTTTTTATTTTTGGTGAACAGTGTTGCCTTGGTTACTAGAAATAGAAATTTCTGTGAAATAATTTCAAAATATTACTCTTAATACAGTTTGAGTCTGATTATAATATAATTTGGCATGCAAGCAGACTACACTGAGATACATAATTATCATTTTTGTGTTTTTGATTTTGAAGATTTATGTTGCCATAGTACCGGTAATTTAAATTGAAAATTCTGTAAAATTTTATTAAATGCTTCTCCTACAGTTGTAGTCTTCTTGCAATCTTGCCTCAAAAAGAGATTTAATCAAGGATCATTATTCTATTTATTGCTTTTCTAAAGTTTTAAGTCCCAACTGCTACTTTTCTCTTTCTTTATTATAAGTACAAACCAGTAGAGCTACAGTCTCTACAGAGACTTCTGGTTATAGTCGTGTTCTTATTTTAATTTTCAAGCTCAGTATTCAAGCTCAAAGGGCCATTAAACAATACATATTATGAAGAAGAGCAAACATTGACCTCTAAAACATCAGAGGTGGGATCAAGTGTCACAAAGGAGTGAGCATCCCGGCCATCCCCTGCCGACCGGTCACACCTATCGTGTGCTCATTGACATGATCGGGAATTAACGGCGAAAATCGGTCGACAATCAGTGTGTAAACAATGGTCTAAATTGTATTTACAGAAAATTGTCAAAAGTTGCCAACACTAGTGCATACGATTTTGAAAAAAAGTACTCATATGAGACCCACATTTCTAGGAACCAGATATTTCAAATGATGTCAAATTTGATCCATACAGAACTTCAGAGACAAAATAAGGTTGCTCACTGAAAAAAGCGTCAAATTGAAAACTACTGTTTATGTCCAAACTTAAAAATGCAGGTCTTAAAGGGACATGGACACAGTTTCAGATAAAATATTTCAAATTTATTTCTCTGTTTTTTTTTGTGTTTTTTTTTTTTGTTTACAAACACTTAACTGAGGTATTTTTAATGATTATCAATCATTTGAATTTCAGGTGTCGAGATACAAGGCAAAAGAGCTCCAAACCTTTATTATATAAACAACGTCCGTGCCATTTTTTGTTTATATAGGATTAATATACATGAACTAATTCGTATATGTTTTTTCAAAGCAGGTTTTTACGCGCCTGGATCAATAGATCCGGGGCGTATATTGTTTTTGTCCTGTCTGTCTGTTTAGCTGTTCGTTTGTCTGTCTGTCTGTTGTCAACTTTAACATACGCCATAACTTTTGAACCTTGAGAGATAGAGACTTCATATTTGGTTTATATACTTCACTAATTAAGCTCTTCCAAATGACACCAAGGTCAATGACCTTGTGACCTTGACTTGACATACATGTATATGCTAAAAATAGCTTTTTCGAACTTTCACCATAAATTTTTAACCATAGAAGATACATGTAAAGACTTCATATTTGGCATGCATCCACTGATTAAGTTCTTTGAAATGACACCAAGGTCAATTACCTTTTGACCTTGACTGTAACCTATATGCTAAAAATAGCTTTTTCGAACTTTTTTGCCGCCGGGCGCATAGTGTTTCACATACACATGAGTGCAGAGTTATCTTCCCGAAAATGAGACAATATATTATTTTTTTAAAAGAAATCAATTTCTAGTGTTGGGATTCTAAACACATATTTTACAGTATGGTTACAGATCATTACAAATTATTTTAATGATATGTAACATTGTCTTCTACACATAAAATCGTTAAATATCATCAAAAGACCTTGCTAAAAATATTCTTTTGGTAATTATAGATTGAGAGAGCTAGAAAAACACAGATAATGAATTGGTTTAATGTGCTAATAACCGTAAGTGTTTTATTTTTCATATTTTTAAGCATTTTTTTTTTTGAAGTATGAACAAGTTGAACATGTATGATAAAACTATCTATAGAAGTATTTTAGAGTTATACTCTTCAGTGATGGGGACAGAAGGGCATTGAACAATATACAAACAAAAAAATTGTAATGGAGTACCTTTACCTGCAGCATAAAATTATAATGCATGTTTTTCAAAGGATCAAATATTCATTTAAAAAAAAGGGGGGGGGGGCACTGGAAGTTGTACAAGAAAAAAATCAAGCCCTACACATTTCTTTGATTATACTTAAATAAATACCTATACCGGACAACTTGGGGGAAACAATACATGTACAGACCGTTTTCATAAAAAGAGACCAAAGACTTTTAGTGACAATAACATCAAGGAAACGAATTCTGACATTTTATTTCTATTAAGTCATTTTTACCTTATAAAACTTCATCATTGCGCGAATAATTTATAGATGAAATACATGTTTGCATCATTCTATACCAGGGCATAAAGTACAATTCTATTTTTCAAATTCAATTCAAAATTAAGCTCACATATTTCTAATTTTTCTTAGAGTCTATGCATTTTACAATATAGATTAATTTATCTCTGGCCACAATTGAAGTCCAAAGATGTCCATCGAATGGAGAAAGCTGGAAACTGTCATCTGATCGAATTGGGTGCAACAAAACACATCCTTATCACTGTTTACCCAACAATAACTTAACTTCATATGTGGAGCTATGTTACAAACATACCTTTTTTATAGAAGGTGGGTTCTATGCTTCAATTACTTATGATTGATGGATTAATTTGTAGGGTCCATATTGTAATATGTATTTTAAACTTAAATTAATTCAGTTTATACGTTTGAAAATCACCGTTCGCTTGCCAAGAATGCAATTCTTAAAAATAATATCTTAATAGTTTGATACTTTTGCTATTCTCATCTTAATCTCCCATGCAGAGTTGTCGTTCGTTCCTCTCTCAGACAATTTATGAGCCGATGGTAGAGAGTGTTCTCATCTACCAAAGTGATTTCAATAAATATCCTTACATTCAAGGATACAGCATAATCTATATATTTTTCCAAACAAGTTTTTATAACCACAATAGACAAGGTCACATTGATAACCTTTCCGCCAATTTTTGTGTCTCATGGGGAAGGTTTCTTTGAAATTCATATTTTTAAACCCCCTGCTTGAAAAGAGAGTGGGTATTTAGTGATCGGGGTGTCCGTCGGCTATTCCTTCATGTAAAAAGTCACGAAAATCATAGCTAACATCAACATACCAGTAATAGAAAATAAAATCTCAGATCTTGCTTATAGCAAAATTTGGAGCATGTTTCAATTTTCCAAAGAGAATCTTTGAAATGAAATTAGATGCATTGAGCAGCATTTGTCCATCAAAGTAATCCTGGCAGAGCTAGCGGCATTAAGCAGCATTTGTCCAAGACAGACTTTCAGGTAGAGTCGGTGGCATTTAGCGGCATTTGTCCAAAACAAACCTTCTGGTAGAGTCAGAGGCTGCATGAATACAAAATGTTAAATTATTCCAGTTTTATATCTTTTATGGAATAAGCTGCATGATAACAAAATGTTAACCTATCCCAGTTTTATATCTTTTACGGAATAAGCTGCATTTTAAATCTTTTACGGAATAATTAAGCTGCATGGTTTTAAAATGTTCACCTATCCTATCCCACTTTTATATCTTTTACGGAATAAGCTGCATTTCAAATCTTTTACGGAATAAGCTGCATGATTATAAAATGTTAACCTATCCCATTTTAAAATCTTTTACGGAATAAGCTGCATTTTAATTATAAATCTTTTACGAAATCAGCTTCATGATTATAAAATGTTAACCTATCCCAGTTTCATATCTTTCACGGAATAAGCTGCATTTGGTATCTTTTATGGAATAAGCTGCATGATTACAAAATGTTAACCTATCCCAGTACTATATCATTTATGGAATAAGCTGCATGATTACAAAATGTTAACCTATCCCAGTACTATATCATTTATAGAATAAGCTGCATTTCATACTTTAACGGAATAAGCTGCATGATTACAAAATGTATCCCAGTTTTATATCTTTTACGAATAAGCTGCATTTTAAATCTTAAGCTGCATGCATGATTATCCTTACGGAATAAGCTGTATTAATATAAAATGTTAACCTATCCCAGTTTTATATCTTTTACGGAATAAGCTGCATGATTAAATCAATAAACAATGTATTAATTTAAAATCAGTGCATGTTAATTTGAGATAATTGTTTTGAACATATTTTATTGACAATGTGTCAAAGGGATTAAATTTCAATAACCATTTTTTGGACCACTCATCCAGAATTTTTAAGTCATGATTTAGATGATGTTCAATGAGACGCACTCGAGCTTTCTTGTAAAGAATTATCGTCTGCAAATAGTCTGCAAACAGATACCATGTTTTCGGCTACATCATTCACAGATAATCATTGAGATAATTCTGGAAATGAAACTAAATTTCTGTCATGTGCTTGTTGCTCTAATGCTGGTGTAATGAAACTAACTTGTCTTGGTATTTCATGCAACATGGACATTTGTTTTATAATCCAAATTTAAAATGTGGTTTAAAAGCTAATAAGAAGAAATTATGGTCTGATTGAAAATTTTTGTAGAGAATCCTTTACTGAACTTTCACAAATCTGTCTTGAAAAAAATAATTTCAACTTTGCATGGTGTGCTTCTGAAAGTCTTAAATGTTTTTTAACTTTATCGATAAAAATAGTTTAACACAGTCTCATACTATGCTCATAGGGTTTATTTGTTGAATAAATTAAGACACAGCTGTCCATAATGAGATAATTTTGAATCAATCTCAAAGTAAAGCTTCTTCTGTTACTGTAATTTATGGAGTAATTACATTATTTTATTTATTTTAGTATTTTATTTGACATATTTTCAAAATATAACTTAATATGTTATACATGGGATACTTCCAATTTAATAGTCATAATCACATAATCGAGCAATATCAAATGCATGAAGCCAGATGTTTAACACCTTTTCCCTAATCATCATCTGTTTTGTTATATTGGTGGTAATTGATAATTATCAACTAAACATTGCATTAAACTACAGCCATTTTTAATTCATAACTAACTCGTTATAACGAGATAGTTAACTCGTTATCGAGATAACTAATTCGTTATAATGTGAAAACTAATTCGTTATAACGAGATGATTAACTCGTTATAACGAGATAATTAACTCGTTATAACAGATAATTATTATTATGTAAATTGCTTATCAGCATGATACTTATGGCTAGTGTTGACCAAGATAAAGCTCTTAATTGAATTATTTTCAAAGATATTACCAAAGTACAAAACATTATTTGTACAATTTAAACTGATATTTAATTAGTATTTTCTGAATAATACTGGAAATACCATCAAAGTGATCAAACCAAATGAAAAAAAAATATAAATATAACTAATTGAGCAAGTTCCTGCCATTAAGGAAAAACAAATATTATACTAATTAAGTATCAGCTTTCATACATAAAATTGTAAACCATCTCTCCATAAATTACTGTATATCATTAAATCCATGGAAAAACAACAGATTAAATTGTAATTAAGATTGTTTTATCTATGATCTATACAAAACAGTATTTATGGACTTGTTTATTCCTGAGGCCTATATCTTTTTCAAGATGAAGGAATTTATTGAAAATAAAGGAAAAGGGAATTAAAGCACTCGATCTTGTTAAACAAATGCCCTTAATTATCAGAAGCACTGTCTTTGAGAAATGCCGCTCAATGCCGCTGACTATACCAGAAGGTCTGTGTTGGACAAATGCCGTTAAATGCCGCTGAATCTACCAGAAGGTCTGTCTTAGACAAATGCCACTCAATGCCGCTGACTCTACCAGATGGTCTGTGTTGGAGAAATGCCGCTCTATGCCGCTGACTCTACCAGAAGCACTCTCTTGGACAATTGCCCCTAATGCTGCTGACTTTAGAAGTACCTCTTTTTAATATATTCGATCAGTGCATACTATTTATGCAAGATATATTACTGTATTCAGCGGCGGATCACACAAATTGGTCCGACCAAAATAGTTCCATCATGATAAGTAGATACAACATTATTGTTCATGAATAGAGTAAAGTTGTGTATGTCATACGTTAAAGAAATCAAAAATAACGTCAAAATATTATTAGAAAGTCCCTTTCTTCCCGAAATGCAAATAAAAAATATCAATATTCCTACGCTCGCTCCCTCCTCAGCATGTTTGATAACAGAGAATATTTAGGTCATTCTTCGATTCATATCTTTTCACCGATGAATTGATAATACTATATCAACAATTGTATTAAGTACATGTTTATAGTCTGTTAATTATCATACAATTTCTTCTTAAAAAAAAATAATCATTCTGTGTGTGTGTATTATTAAATGACGGAATTTTCAATCCCTGGCCGGATTCTGCTCGTGTGTACACTTTGTAAACTGTAGGGTATGCGTGGCAAAACGAGAACTGGGTTGGAGATTCGGGTTCGTGTTGACGTTCAGCATACCATTTTATATAGAACTTGAATAATGTAAGTAATTTCTCGAATACATTAGTATATTTCAGTAATTTTCAAAACAAAAAAGGTTTTCAGTTTAGAATTTTCCGACCCGGTCCTGATTTTCCTAACCCGGCCATTTTACAAGTTGTTGTAGATGCAAATGTTAGAACAAACTATATATAGTTCAACAGGGATTGTATAATTTTTATTAATCAGAATTCGTATTCATATGATCTAATTAAGAAAAGGAAAGTTTTGTCTGCCATCGTAACTTCTCGGCAAAACATAACGTGTTTCTCCGAGATCGCTGGATGCGTTTGACAGCTCCATCGCACGTGTGTAGACCAAGGCTAACTCAGGTCTTGCGGACACAGGCATGTGTACTGTTTGTTCGGAGACTGGGTGACCGTAATGAAATTTACAACAGTTCCATAATTAGACAGTTTTTTTTTTATTAACGTCATTATAAACACTGTTAAACATATTAAATCTAAAAGTCGAATATCTTTGGATATGGGGTAACTCATATCTATTCTTGTTAAGCGCTAAGCGCAGCGCAAAGCGCTTTCTGTCAGCGTAAATCTACTTCCGTTCGCGATCCAGCGCCACTATAGGCAAGTTAGATAACTCCTCTCGTTATTCTAAAAATATGCAACTGGAATCCCTGACTCTCTTCCTGCTATTTTAATGTACTGTTGCGTTACGTGCATTTCTAATAATAGTAAGCAATTAGTGGGGTAGAGAAATATTCCACAGTTAGTAGATAAGAGCAGTTCTTATCATGCTCTTTTCTATACATTGTAGTTCATTTAAATCATGTAGGCACACATTACTTTTGTATCATGTACCTAATAATTGCTGCATTTATATTGCGCAAATACTTAATTAAAAGCATTATATTATTTAACATGTACATTTAATATAGTGATTGAATAGATACATAATTTAAAAATCAGATGGGATTTTATTAATTAAGTTTTTATAAATCTCAAACTGGAAGTGAGTTACTAGTATTCAGTATTAAAAAAAAATAAAATTGATTAACAATGCACTACTTACATAATTTGTCATGCTCTTTATAACATATCCATATAAACTATTATTTTTGTCTTTTAGACCCTTACTTCAGGCAATGTAACTAGAACAAGCCTTCTTTTTTACACCTTGCACCATGCTGAGAGCTATCAGTGAAGTTGATTTTCTCATCTAAGTATCAATTAGTAACGGACTGCAATGCATTCATGGACTTTCTTTTTTAATGTCTTTACTTGTGTCGTACTCTATAATTGTATCATATGGGTAAAACAGGCGATGGGGAAAGAAAATATATTTTTACACGGAGAAATATTTTCTTGAAATTTCATGTATGTGATATTGATTGATTTTTTGACAGAGGCAGAAAATGTTAAATGCTTAAAATAAAAAGGCATTAGACAATGTTGAATTTCATAATCAAACGGGAAGTTTTCAGAACTCACATACTTGAGTATTAGTATTTGATTATGTACCAAACAACTGTGCTCGCCCTAGCGCTGTCGCACTGTCAAACTATTGCTTAAAATCAATATTAATACAACGGGAAATTTAAATTCAAAATAATTCTGATGAATTTCAAATCAATATGCTTAGCGCTTCCCAGTACTTTCAGTACTTTGATTTTTCGGTCATGTTGCTCCCACCCACCAACCCATTTCATCTCATTTCGTGACTTCTTACATGAAGTATGAACCGTGTCCGTCCGTCTGTTTATACGTCAGTCCGTCAGTTACGCTTTAGGGTACCCATCGCAGGTGCTAGGGGACGGGAACTAAAACTAGTATCAGAGGGTATGGATTTTTATAAAAGGCTAGTTTTAGCTTAACTTTTGGATTTTTTAGTAGTAATACTTTGTGAATATGTCATAGAAAAATATTTTAATCAAAACAGTCAAAGAACCCTTGGAGTACGGAACACGGAAAGGGGGGGGGGGTCCCGCCCCCTAGCACCTGTGGTACCCATCTCTTATCCGGAACTCCTCTTATACCACTGGTTGAAATTTAATGAGGATTCCATAGAATGTCTGTTACACAGTGTCAATCTGCACCTCCTATTTTATTTTTTGATCGGACACCCATAGCGAAACATTGACATGCCATTCTTTCTATAATATTGAAGGGTACTGTACTCATCTCTTATCCGCAACTCCTTCTATACTACTGAATACAATTGAATAGTATACTTTCACAGCAATGATTGTTACATTATATGATTCAATGATACAGCTCATTACTTGTTTACATTTGCTGAAGTCCTAGCCAATAACTAAGAGAGAAGCAGTGTTACAATGTAAATGAACATTACTATTCGTACATGTATTAATTTGAAATTTTTAAAATTTATTTATATAATTGTTATGAGAAAAGACATGTTAGGCTCTTTCATAGGATAGATTTTGAAAAGATGAGTATTATCAGGGAAAATTGACACCTGAAAAAAAGTTAAAATTAACCTTCAGAAAAAAAAGTGTCATGGGGGGGGGGGGTTGTCCTTGCACCCCCTCTGACCACCCTAGACCAAATCATGAATTCCCTAATGTTATGTTCACGTGAGTAAAAGTCGATAGCAGGTGAAAAAGCTTTCCAAAACTATTTGTATCAGTTTGAAATTTCCTGTTCTATTTTTGGATCAATGTAGAGAAAATAAATAATTATATTCACCTGGAATGTTTACATTATTGAATCTCAGCAAATCAGAGAGAGGGAGGGGGATTACTAGTATTCGGACATACAATATAAATATCAACTACCTCTTGTTTATAATTAATTAAAATAGGATATTGCTAATTGTGTCGATCACTACACGTCAAAGGATCAAAGGTCAATTTGAAGGTCCACTACCCAGGAGTGCCAAACAAGGTGTACAGGGTATAGACAGGGACTTAGTAGGTAAATGTCAATCAAGTTCTAGCATCCAACGATGGACCTTAATGCACTTGATTGACAGGCCTACACAGACCAGATATTTTTTGAAGGCGGTGCTTAAAATTTCTGCCCAGTACTAATCACATCGACCAATACTAGTAATTTAAAAAGCATGATGATTTAATTACTGATCAGTATCTCATCACGAAAATATAATCATTTACACACATCTTTTGCATTTTCAGGGGGATGTCTAAAATACCTAGACAGTGGCTATATTGACCAAGTGAAGTGTGCCGAGTTTGTCTGCGGTTGTCCTGATAAATCATATTACGGCGATGAACTCTTTCAATGTAAGTAGATGAACTTGAAAAGAAAACAAATAACACTGAATAATGTTTCACAGAATGTTTTTTTTTCTGCAGTTAACATTTTCAATTCAGATTAAAACATGCAAAATTAATACAAAACCTTAGCTGCAATATTATAGACTCTTTGGGGATGGGATGAAAAAAAAACCCTGAGAGGGTCTCATTATTGCAGCTAACAAAACAATATCATTTATTTTATAGATAATAAATAGTCTCTTATAAAAAGAAAAACTACTAAAAATCTAGAGAATTTTAGCTTTCAATATTATTTTTATTATTTTTTTCCAAGCACTCTGATTGGCTCAAACTTGATCACATGATTAAGTATATAATAGCACAAAGACTTGAGTTATAGAATCTGACATGCATATCGATTTGATGTTTCTTAAAGTGGAGATTATAAATTTCTGTAAAACTTTAGTACTGATTTTACAATTATAGCTAAAACAGTGTATATGACTTGATATTTCTGAAAATATAATTATATATACTTCATTTATTAATATTTGTTAATGTTCTGATGAGACGTAAAAAGCCATGAATTAGGATCTACTTTATATTAAAACATATTGAATATGTTTGTCAAAAATTGATACAAATAAATGTAGTATTTTGAATAAGTAAATTCTCTAAATTACTGATTTTTACTCCATCAATATAAAGGAAACACAATTACATTATTAAAACAACTTTAATTAGTTAATTTATTTTGATCTCTCGTTTCTAAAAGTTAAAGAGAGAAAACTTGTGCCTTGTTCCCATTATTTTCAAATTGTGTTTTGTTAATCTATGTAAAAATAATATAACAAATGTAGCCCTTTCATTCGATCAATCCATAGATATAAATATCAATATCATAGAAAAGCTTCGTGCTAGTTCGATATGCTTTTCTGTGAAGTCGATATATAGAGAATAATACATACCCTTTTCCATATATCACATCCTGTATCAGCCCTCGACCAATATAAGCCCTCGGGCCTTCGGACCTCTGGCTGATATTGGTCGAGGGCTGATACAGGATGTGATGTGGAAAAGGGTATGTTTTATTATATTTATTACATACTTAGTAATAAAATACAGAACACATTAACTTGAGAAGAAAAGTAAATAATCATGCACGGACTTCTTAAAATGTACACAGTCTATTGTCTCATACAGTTTCGGTTTGCTTCTGCATGTACTTCTATTTCAAATGTCCCCAATCCGTAATTTTAAAATAATCTATTATTTATCAGTTAGATTATCATTACATTCAAAAAATTAAAATTAAGAGAATTATGTAACCCCCAAAATATGTGTATGATCACAAGTACTGTTTTTTGAGGTTTAATTTACTAGGGGTGTGATACTGATCCGTATCAGCCCTGCAGAGCTGATAACCTATATCAGCCCCGCAAATCCATATTAGCCCTGCAGGGCTGATACGGCTATTGTGACGTCAGCCATATCGCATATGCAAAAATCCTGTATTTATTACTAAGTATGTAATAAATCTATGCATCGACCTCATCAAAGGACTATATATATATAATATAAGTTCAATTACCCAATATAGTATTTACTGAATGGTCTGGGAAATATATGAAATTGCTGATTTCACATATTCATATATAAAATTCTTTAAAAAGTTTGAAAGATATAAAGAAACAGCGAGTACCGGTAAAACATAAATGCTTTCATTTTTTTTTCGTGATGTTTGACAATGTATATATGTATTGTAGATCCTATGTGTTTGGACTTATTTATACCTGGAAGCTGTTTCACTGCACACATCGACTGTTTAAAACTGAGGTATGGTCATGCACTTAATGAAGGACTGACGGTAGGGGTGTCAACGACTATCGCTCTGCCACAGTGAGTTTCATATTAATTTTTTTTAATTCCACTATTCGTCAAAATATAGTGCTAGATTTATTTTTTCAAAGTGATAAATCAGTTAACTCAATTTACAGAATTTTATGCCCCCGTAAATGAAGTTTCGGAGGTACATGTATATAGTTTTTGTCGTGTCAATCCGTCTGTCTTCTGTCTGTCTGTCTCTCTGTTTGTCCGCAAAATTTTAACCTTGCCCATAACTTTTGATTTAGTGGAGCCATGACTTTCATATTTCACATGTGTATTCCTTGTGACAAGCCCTTTCTTTGCGTACCACCAAATTTGACCTTTTGACCTTGACCTTGGAGTTTGACCTACTTTTACATGAAAATTTTAGACTTTTACTTTGGCCATATCTTTTGAACAGTAGATACCAGGACATTTATACTTCACATATGTATTATTTGTTGAAAGACCTGTCATTGGATACCAACAACCTTGACCCTTTGACCTTGACCTTGTAGATTTCCGTACCTGTGAAAAAACTTTAACCTTGGCCATAACTTTTGAACGGTAAGGGATAGGGCTTTCATGCTTCATATATGTAATCCGTGTGAGAAGACCCTTAATTGGATACCAAGCACTTTGACTCTCTGACCTTGACCTTTGAGTTTGACCTACTTTTAAAAAGCAAACCTTGACCATAACTTTTAAAGGGTTAGGGCTAGTGCTTTCATACTTTACATATTTAATTCTTGTGACAAGACCTTTCATTTGATAACAAGAACGTTGACCCTTTGACCTTGACCATGGAGTTTGACTAGCTGCAATAATGTAGCCCTCTCCCCCTTTTTTTTCCAGAAAACATCAGATAGAAAAAATCGGAGAGGGCTACATTATTGCAGCTAAGTTTGACCTACTTAAATAAAATTAACCTTGGCCATAACTTCTGAACGGTTAGGGCTATGGCTTCCATACTCTAGATAAGTATCCTATGTGGCAAGACCTTTCATTGGATACCAATTACCTTGACCTTTTGACCTTGGAGATTTTCGTACTTAAAAAAAAACTTTAACATTGGCCTACTTTCAAATTTCACAAATGTTTTCCAGTGAGAATACCCTACTTTTGGTACCCATTAATTAAACTTGCATTTAAGAAAAGTTTAATCTTTGCTATGTTGCCATACGGGGGCATCAGTGTTTCACAAACACATCTTGTTCCCTTCGACTTTCCTTCAATGTTAAGGATTCGTCAGATTAGACCTTAGATACTAAGATTTCCTAAGCCATTTACTGATATGCGAGTATGGTGACGTCTCGTTATGTGAAAATTCTTAAATGGGACGTAAAACAACATACAATCAACCAATCAACCCTTCAGTCTCTAGATGATGTACATGTACATGTATTGTTGTTAAAGAGTAGAGCCTCTGCTGTTGTTGTGAATCAAGTCATGTTAGGTTCGAACTTCTTTCAGTAACATTTTTTTCCAAACACTACTAAGCCCCCCGCCCCCCGGTTCCGACACCTATGTACCATGTAATGAAATGTGTGCAAAACAGGAACAACCAGTTGTGTGTTGTGTTTGGTTGCTGAAAAATAAAATTAACATTTTTTTTATCTATTTCCATTTAGAATCTGTAATACGACGAATTGTGTCCCGGACAAAGAAAGCAGCTGCACATGCCTTACTTGGATCTCCGTGGGCCCACTCGATTGGGACCCTTCTAGAAGCAGAAGGGAATGTCAGAAGGGTTGGAAGATATATGTCTCAATCGAGTGTTCAGATGGGTATAGGATATGGCTGAATGTAATAAGTTGCTATGTTCTGCAATTACTGCAGCTGTGTCTGTTTTAGAACTTGAATCCCTTAAATCATTAAATGTCAGGTCTAAAAGGCGAAGAGATGACTTTGTTTTTCTTGCATGCGTTGCAAGCTCAGCTGTGTAAGTACACTGATTATTATAATAATTTTTAAAATTAAATCCTAAATACTAAGAGTTTAGAATATATATATTGAAGAACATTCAACTGAAAAAATATTATTGTATTATTAAAAAAGTTAGTCATGAAAATATTATATATTTTCAATTTATTATAAGGGTTTTTTGCTTATTTTTGCAGAGTAAGAGATGATATTAGCAAAATAGATGGTTATGTCGAAAGAATTATTCCAGGGTATTTGCCTGAACAGTTTAAAAGACATTTCAGATTATCAAGGGAGACATTTGAATGTATTTTGAATCATTTGGTAAATTTTCCAACTCTACAAAGAAGACAGCAGGCAGGCGGAAGGTTACAAACAACTCTAGAAAAAGATCTCATGATGCTCATGATGCTGCTTTGGTACTTAGGTACGCAGTAAACTGTTCGGTTGATCTCGGATAGATTTGATGTGCAAGAATCCACATTGATACTTCATAATAGAAGACTCATAGATGTGTTTAGTGATTTGTGCAAGAAATTTGTAAAGTGGCCAAACAATGAAGAAAAACAAGAAATTATGTCAGAATTTGAGGATTTCAGTGGGTTTCCGGGAGTCATTGGGGCAATTGATGGAACTCACATATCCATTACACCGCCAGGTGAAAATGAGGCCGATTACGTGAATCGAAAAAGTTTTCATTCAATTATCCTACAAGCTGTTTGTCGACACGACCGACTATTTATAGATATTAACTGTGGATGGCCTGGGCGTGTCAATGATGCCAGGGTCTTCAGGAACTCTGAAGTTTGTCAACACCAGGCACAGCTATGTGGACCACATCATCTTGTTGGAGATGGAGCATACCCACTCTCATCATACTTGATGAAACCATACCGGGAAAGTCAGAATATGACAGCAGCTGAAAAGATTTTCAACAAAACACTTTGCAGAGCCAGGGCCATCATTGAACATGCTTTTGGTGTATTAAAAGGAAGATTTAGGCGCCTGCAACACATTAACATGGTTGATATAGAATACATTGTGAAAACTGTTGTTGCCGCATGTGTGTTGCATAATATTTGTATCATCAATCATGATGAGCTTGGTGAAAACTTTGAAACAGAGGTAGATGAACAAGTTTTTGCTGAAGTTACTACAGACACTGCTGAAGGTAACTTGAAACGGCTGTTCCTAACCAGACAACTTTCAAATGCCCAGCCATGACTTTGACAGTTTTTTGTACACATGCATCATTATATTCCTATGTGTTAAGCAAATATAAGATTTAAATATGTTATATTGCAGAAAACATTTATGCCCTTGTCAATTTGTATGAATAAATGTTCTAATGACAGAAATTCTTATTATTTTTTTCAATATTCTATATTTGATGTTATATATTTGTCTACATAATTGTCTAACTGTCCTTCAACTCTCCTGGATGACTAATGCTTGGTCTTTCAGAATTCACATGCAAAGCCTGGGAGAAAAAAGGTCAACTTTAAGATTTTTTTAAGTCAGAGGTCAAGGCCACAAAGAATAATTGGCATAACTAAGATTGTTTTAAAACAATTTATATTTTCTTTGAAAAAGTAACAAAATAGTAACAAAACAATGTAAAAATAAAAAGTATGTAACACATTCCTTGTTGCATAAATAATAACAAAGGTCAGACAAACTGATAAGTACAATGCCTACATTTTTTGCTTTGAAATATGTACTCAATACAGTTCAAACTGATTATAAAGTAATATCAAAACCTTGATATTTGCACCATTGTGTAAACAAAAACTTTGAAACATGAAGAGTAAAATAATTAACATTGTCAACTTAAAATGTCCCTCTTATTACAGATATATATTTCTACTTCTTTGCAGCTGCAGCTACATCTGCAAGTTTGCCGATAATATTGGTAAGCCCTGAGAGCATTTTCATGTGCTCTTTGTGCATGGTTTCTGTTCGTCGTTTCTCCTCTTCCTCTTTCTTTCTGTCCTCTTCTTCCCGTTTCTCTGTATAGCATTTTAAGAAATCTATCAACTGAGATGCACCTGTTGTGGGATGATGTTTCCTTTTTCTTCTCCCTGCCTTCCCTTCATTAATCTGCTTTTCATTATCTTTACTTGATTCTGATTCAGTATTGGTCACACTTTCACTGCTACTACTTGTACTAGGACTTGGTTCTTTAGCTCTGCTCCTGTGGGTTGTAGGTGTAGAGGTACTTGTTGAACTACTTTCAACAACAAAAGCTGGGGTTGTAGAGTGCGAATTTCCAAAGATATCATCCATTTCGGAGGCAAATTCGTATTCCTTTCGCTCAGTGCCTGTTCTTTTCTTGGCATCCTTGTACTTTCTGTACGATGAAAGCATTGTTTTGAATCTTCCTTCGACTTGCTGGCTGGTGAATGTTGATTGCGTTTCTGTATTGATCACTTGGCAAATCTCCCTCCATAAAGTTTTCTTCTTCTGTGTTGGGCTATTGAATTGCAAATATCTCTCTCTATATTCATGTAGAAGAACTTTTGATCTCTCTTTGGTCCAGGAATTAGTTCGAGTGATAGCCTCTCCACTAGGTTTTGGATCCTCTACAAAATTGAAGAAAATTAGAGAAACTTAGCAACACATAATTCAGTAGTGCTCAATCATATATACCAGTAGTATTATAACAACACTGGAGAACTTATTTCACAGATTAAGAGGAATGCATGCAAGTTGTCATTGTTTAGCATATGAAATGTAGTAATAAAACGCTACTTCCTTGGCGGCATGGCCTATATTTTATCCATATTTGAAATTGATTGTAATTATGATCAAAGAAATTTTTATTTTTATAATATTAAATTACGTTTAAAAAAGGTTTTTAAAAAAATGTTAATTTTCATTGTTTTGTACCTATTATATTTACATATTATATAATATATCTACAACATACATACCAATTTCGTTTTCCTCGGATTCTTCTTGTTCCTGTTCTGCTACTAAATTTAATACGAATTCAATTGTATTGGGATCTAAAAATAAAAACCGCATTCACATTGTAAACACTAAACAGAAAAGAAATTAATATAATTAGACATTTTTAAACGGATAGAAAAGTTCTTCTACCTTGATTTTAATGATGGACACAATATTTACCATTATTCTGAAGGTTCTCGAGAGTCTTATCATCCAGTTGTAAAAGAACATTTTTTCCATCGTCCGTTGTGAATGATACTGTGTTTGTTCCCGATGCTTCTTGATTGTTACTACACAACACAGAAAAAAATGCCACTTAAGAGAAAGTATCCTTCAAACATTATCACAAATACTTTTTGCAACTTTATTTTGCTTCTAATTTGGTTTATTTACAATAAAAAAAGTTTTCAGAGTTTTCACCCACCTGTTCGCCGCCATACCGGAATGCTTCGTTTAAATAAACCTTCCCTCTCTAACGCGGGAGGCTGGGAAGGCCTTCTTAGTCTAACCTTCCGAACCAATCGAGCGGAAAGATTATTCCGGAATAAGAAGGGTCCCAATCGAGTGGGCCCATATGTCTTATTAGTCGCGGTACACAATAATAAAATATTGACAAAGCGACTGATGTTCCAAACATGATTAATGAAAACAGGTATTTATATACTTATTGATTTTTAGGTAAGATCTAGGAAATATTTGTTCTTTAATGCTACCAAGCTCGAGAATTTTTCACTCATATTTAGACCCCCCCCCCCCCCACATGTACCCTTTGCCGGAGGAGTGTTGCAAATATCGATTTCCATGCACTCAGCACTTTCTGCAACATGAGACCTCGGTTTATACGGTCTCATCCGAAAGGCAGGTCTCCACGTCCTACAATTGGATTCGAACCTGCCACGTTAGGATCAACTCCTTACTCTGTGACTCTATGAAGCAAACGTTCAAACCACTGCTCTTTGCGGGTGATCTGGTATTTTGTGCATATAGTTCTATATTTTTCGTTTAAAAGTTGCGCTTCTTTTATGATGTTGATTAAAAATTGCTATTGTTAAAATATCCCTAATATTTTACTTCATGTAGAGTCAAAGCCCTCACTGTTAGAACAACTTGAGGAAGCATGCCGAGATGGCGATGTGGACAAGTACTTTACATTAAAAGAGCGGGACAACAGTCTGTTATCTGCATATGTTGATAAGAATGGATGGAGTTTACTACATCATGCAGCGTATGGAGGAAGTGAAATAATTTTTAAAGATTTGCTTGAACAAAAAGATTTTGATATACATAAAAAAACAAAGTCTTCAAAAACTGTTTTACATATAGCTGCAAAAGAAGGCAGAAAAGAAATATGCAGACTAATCATCGATAATACAGAATATGAAAATCTTCTTGATATGAAAAACGATAAAGATATGAATGCAGGGCATATTGCAGCCAGATATGGACAAACTGATATCATAGAAATGTTGATGAAAACAAGATGTGACTTGCTGGAAAAGGTTGGACCCCTTCTCGAAAACATTGCTATATTCGCATGCAAAGGCAGAAGTCTAGAAACGATGACATTTATAGGCAGCCATCAAAATCTAAAAGTTGCCTTGCATGAGAAAAATTATCAGGGCTGGAACGTTGCACACTATGCAGCAAAAAGTGGGAATTGCGAGATTCTGGAGTATTTAATCGCGGAGGAAGGAGTTGACTGTATAAATGAATCAACGGATGAAAAGAAAAACTGTCTTCATACTGCATGTGAAAATGGTCATTATGAAGCCTGCAAGTGTTTGATTAAAAATAATTCTGGTTTATTACATTTAAGAGATATCAATAGAAACCATGCCGGACATTACGCTGCAAAGAATGGAAATATCACGATAATAAAGTATTTAAAGGATCAAGGACTTGATTTAGAATTAACAAATAAGGAAAATGTGAATATACTGCATATATCCTGCTTGCATGCACACTTGGAACTGTTTAAGTATTTAGCAAAAGAATTCCCAAGACTTTTAAATCAGAAAAGTAACAAATCTAAGAATGCAGTTTTATTCGTCATGCAGCGGAAAGACGATGAAGATAAACGTATAAAAATT